AAATAAAAAGCTATGATGAGCAAAAAAAAGGAGAAAACTTCATAAAACTGGTCATGTTAGAAATACCAGAACAGATTATAAAAGGAAAAGACTCATTAAATCATTTGACTCATGTAGTCCCCTTCTAGGTACTTCCCCCAAGAGTTTAAGATATCACATTACAGTGATACATGCATGTTTATAGCAACATAACTCACAATAGTTAAATATTGAAAGAGGCTTAGATAGCCATCAGCAGATAAATAGATAAAGTTTGGCATTTATACTTGATAGTATACTACTCTGCCATGAAGAAAGATAAATTTGAGTTATGTGTAGAAAAACAAATGTACCTTGAAACCATAATATTAAGTGAAATCACGCCCAAATATCACACGGTAGCTATTACATGAAAAATCCAAAACATAAAAAGGAACAAAATAAAAGATAATAAGAAATAAGGAGAGAGTGAGTTTGCAAAAGAAGGAGGGACCAAGAGTCAGGGGGGTAAAAAAAAAAAAGAATTAAAATTCTTTTAATTTTAAGGCATGGTGGTATACAACTGAGCCTTGATCCCAGCATTTGAGAAGTCCAGGAAGAGCCTGACTACACAGTGAGTTCAAGGCCAGCCTAAACAACATTGTGCAATCCTGTCTCAAAATACAAAACAAAAGTTATATACATGCACCAACTCCCCATGAGTAGTCATTACATAATACAAACACATAGCAATAAAAATTTTAAAGAAGGGCTGGGGACGTAGCTCAGTGGTACAGCACTTGGGTGACGAGCACAAGACCAAACATTACATTACTGATAGCAAAAAAAGGGAGAGTATCGGGTCTTGACCTAGATCGCTAATCTCCCAAACGAGTGTATGGCAGAGGCTTAAATAAAATGAGACAGGTGGTATGAGTTTAGGGCTCTAAGAGGGTCAAAACTCTTAGCTGAGCTTGAGACTCTGAGGGCTAAAAAGGTTTTTTTGGACCACCTCCTTTTTATTGGGGCTAACAACAAAGGGCAGGAAAATGAGGAAAGTGCGGGAAATGAGCAGGACTTTGGGAGTCATTTTAGAGACTTTTTAAAGTAGTAAATTATGCCAATTTAGGAGAACCGTCTTATCTCCAAGATGACATTTATGGTAGGATTCAGACTGCAGGAGTAGAATTTTTTACCTGTATTTACTTAATTAGTGTTAAAGCCAAGGTGTCTTCAGCTGTGGCCCTATCTTGCCCTTTGAGGTATCTTTGGCCTCACAGGCCACTATAGGCCTAAGCCAGGACCGCTGATTCACAGAGGTTTATTTACTGTGAATCAGCTCCCATGCCAGGCAAGGGGCTGAGGCCTAGGACAGACTCACAGATAAACACTGAAAGCCAATTAGTTAAATTTAAATCCTGCTCAGAGCTGTTTTGTAGTGGTCTCCAACATCTCCTCCCTTTTGTTTTGTAACAACAGCTGGATCATGGTAAGGCGTGGTTAAATGTTGTCTAGGGGTTGACTCATCTTGGCTCTTCTTTGACAAACAAAGGAATCAAAATTTTTCGCAATCTTGAACAGGTCAAATTTTTGGGTTTGTTGGGACACTGACAACACCTCTTTTTGGAGTGCATCAATATCTATAGGATAGGTCCTTGTACGTGTTTTTTTATACCCTCCTAAGGATGTAAAGATTTGTTATAATGTAAGGGAGTTTGCAGAAATGAGTGGCCTTGTAATGGTACAATTTACGAAGTCAAATTTAGTTTATGATAAATCTTAGGTGGAGAATCTAAGTAATGAGTCTAAGTAATGGTGGATTAGGGACATAATCCATTACTTTACTCCAGAGATAGGTGTCTATTATATATACAGATATTGTCAGGAGAGCCATTAAGGCAACCAACAGATATTTAGGGGTTGGTGGAATTTTTTTTTTTTTGTAACTATATCTCTAGCCCAGGTAGGCTGAATAGTCACATAAGGCTGTCTTTAGCATTGGTTGTATCTTTTATCAAGGATGTATTTTTTTTATGGATCTTTTATCTGTTAAGACACAAGCATAACCTCACTTTTCCATTATTAGTTGTGTTGATTTTTTAAAGTTTAAATTAAGCATGGGCAAGGCAAAACTTGGTCTATCTGTGGGAAAAATACGAATGCTAAAAAAGCAGTTTTTAAAAATTAATTATGATGAGAGGGCAGTCTCTGGGAACTGCAGTTGGATTTGGCAGTCCTAGTGGTAGCGCCCCCATAGGAAGCAAACAAGCATTTATAGCTCTTACTCTTGTAACAACCTCCATTTGCCTGATTTCTTTGGAATAACAAAAATAAGCATATTTTAAGGGATAACTGAGCTTTTTAAATGTCTTCCTGCAGTTGCTCTTTAATTAATTTGTGCAATTCAGTTAGCTTCTCTTTTTTTAAGGGGCTACGGATCTACCCAAACAGATTCTTTGGTTTTCCATTGTAAAGGCAGAGCTGTTTTGGGGGAAAACGCATCAATGGCCCTTGACAAAAACCATGCTGATATCCTGTCATTGCCTGTCATTTTTAGGTGTAATCTTAACAGGCTCTTTGGTTTCCTGTAAGTTTTTTCTTAGTCCTTTGTCTTTCTGATATCCCATTTTAATCATCATTTTCTTAATTTTAGGATCTGAATCTATTTGTTCAGTTTCCAAATTGGCACTTGTTTGTTCAGCTTTAAAATCAGAATCACTAGTCAGCACTAATTTCCACTTTTGTAACAAATCTCTTCCCCACAAGTTAACTGGAATAGGTGCCACATAAGGTAAAAAGAAACCCTTTTGTTGGTTGGGCCCCCTCATAAGGCAAAGGTGAGGCACTCTGTAGCACATGCTGAGGGGTTCCTAGTCCGATAAGGGACGTAGGAGCCCTTTGTGTCGGGCATGTGGCAGGCTATTATTCTAATGCAATTATAGACACATCTGCACGGGTGTCTATTAGGCCTTCAAAGTATTTTCATTAATCTTTATAAAACACATAGGCCTGTTTTTAGTCACTTCCTGTGTAAAATAAATTTCTCTTTGTAGTCTTGCTCTGAGGATCTTATTCCCTCTTGAGCTGTCTATACTTAACAAAAGAAGGCTTTTTTACAGGTAACAAAATCAGTTGTACCACATAGTTTCCCTATTTAAAAGCCCAGAGATCTATAGCACATGCGAGCACTTGTATCTCATCTTGACAATCACCATCAATCACACGAAGCACAACAGTTATTCCTTTTACATTTAGATCAGCCTTTCCCAGCACAAGACCAACTGTTCCTTCAGGTGGGGGGGCCCCAAATTCCTGTGGGAATTGGGGCGGACTTGTCACCTCCAATGAGAGTAACTCGGTAAGCTGCAGGATGATCTAATCCTGCACGTTGAATGGTTCCCCTGGTGAGTGAGTTAACATCTCTCTGGGGAGCCACCTCTGATGTTGTTCTTGATTTTGAGTTTGCACTGGGTAAAGTTGATTGGCATTTTGACTCACAGACCATGCCTCTATAGTTTTGCCAACCTGAGGAAAGGCCCTCATCTCGGTTTTTTGGCAAAGGTGTACCATCCTTACAGAATTTAGAATGACAACATCTGGCCCATTGCCTCCCTTTCTGGCCTCTCCAACAGAGTCCAGGTGCAGAACCTGAGTCCTCCTCACCAGAGGCACTTTCTCTTGCCATGCTGCAGCTGCAGCATCTGTCCTATCAGGTCTAACAAGAACTCTGCAATTTTTTCTAGTATGTCCCATTTTTCCACAGCTAAAGCATTTCATATTACTCTTTTGTGCATTTGCAAGGCCAGCCATAACCTGAGCCATCATAGTTGTCTTATAGGACTCAGTTCCAATGTCCTGACATGCTCAAATATATGTTGTTAAATCATTAGTTGACTCTACAGGATTTAAAGCCTGTTTACAATCTTGATCAGCATTTCATATATGCTAATTGTAAAGTTAAGATGTTCGTAGTTTCTGTGATCTGATACCTGTGAACAGCTTCTTGTAATTTTGCCACAAATTGAGTAAAGGGTTTCTGGAGTCCTTGCAGAATATGTAAAAAGGACATCACTGGAGCCCCATCCTCTGGAATAGTTGTCCATGCTTTTTTTTACTAATTCTGCCAATTGTGGAAATAGTTATTCAGGACATCGAATCTGTTCCTCAAGTGGTTCATATACTCCTATACCAGAAAGCATTTCCTCATTTATTGCTGGATGTGGATTGGGATCCATCCTGTTTTTATAAGCCTGCTTTGAAACAAGAGTTTTTAGCTTTACATCAAAATGAAGGAATTGAGCAGGGGACAGGCATGTTTGTGCCAAATGTTTGATATCATAAGGTATCAACTGATATGTATCCAAAACATTTTGTAAGAGTCCCACAGTAAATAGACTTTGGACTCCATTGTTAACCACATTTGGTTTAAGATATTTTTAGCGGTTGTATTTCAAAAGGCATATGAATAAAATACTCATGACCATTAGCATCTCTTTTAATTCCAACTGGGAAGCAAGCAGGGAGGGTATTATTTGTTTTCTTTGCTGTTGCCTCTTTTTGCAATACCTGTAAGTTTTTGGATAGAGCCCTATGAGATATTTTTTGTAAAGGCTCTGGCCCCTGCTGAGTGATTCCTCAAGGGATTTTGTTTTGGTGGCAGGCGCCTCAGCAGGGATCTCTCTTCCCTGTGTCTGAATCAGAGACTAATGACTGTGAGCTCTTTAACGGACTTAAAACTGAACGGACCAAATTCCAAGTTGAGAATGTCTCAGGGGAAATCATTTGCCTGCCCTGTGTGCCTTTTTAATATTTTCCCCAAATATTTCCCAAATATCAATTTCTATAATGCCTGTTTGAGGAAACCATGGATTATATTTGGTTACCTCTTTTAACATTTTTGTTAAGTCTTTCTTTGGCACACAAACCCCTGAGCATTTACGCAGGCTTTGAAGTAGTTGTAAATATCTTTGCTCCTCAGCTGAAACCTTTTGCCCCATATTTTACTCCAGAATAAAACGACTTTTCATAGCGGGAAGACTCACTCTTTTTCTTCCCAATCTTCTCTCCAGGCGTCTCCAGCAAAGTTTTTGTCCTATGAAGGCCTTCTCGTAGCTAAACCTTTCCACTCTGGGTGGACTTGGTTAGGGTAAAATTTCTAGTCCAAGGATTTTAGGTCCCTCTGCGGGCGCCAGTTATCGGGCCTTGACCTAGATCTCCAATCTCCCAAACGAGTGTATGGCAGAAGCTTAAATAAAATGAGACAGGTGGTATGAGTTTAAGGCTCTAAGAGGGTCAAAACCCTTTAGCTGAGCTTGAGACTCTGAGGGCTAAAACCAAGATTCTTTTGGACCACCTCTTTTTTATTAGGCCTAACAACAAAGGGCAGGGAAACTGAGGAAAGCGCAGGAAATGAGCAGGACCTTGGGGGTCATTTTAGAGACTTTTTAAAGTAGCAAATTATGCCAATTTAGGAGAACCATCTTATCTCCAAGATGACATTTATGGTAGGATTGAGACTGCAGGAGTAAAATTTTTTCATCCGCAGTCTCTATTTACTTAATTAGTGTTAGAGCCAAGGTGTCTTTAGCTGTGGCCTTATCTTGCCTTGTGAGGCTATCTCTGGCCTCACAGGCCACTACAGGTATAAGCCACGACCAGTGATTCATGGAGATTTATGTACTATAAATCAGCTCCCATTGCCAGGCAAGGGGCTGAGGCCTAGGACAGACTCACAGTGAACATAAAAAAACCAATTAGTTAAATTTAAATCCTGCTCAGAGCCACTTTATAGTGGTCTCCAAAGAGACAGAAAGAAAATCAAGTATCCTATTAACAAGGAAAGAACTGAAGTTCGTATTATAACAATGATTATTTTTAACTCTTTTAATTTCCCATTTCAACAAATTAATAAGATTGCATGAGTTCGAGGCTAGCACAGGATACACAGTGAGTTCAAGATCAACCTGCACTACACAGTGAGGCCCTATTTAAAAAGAAAAGTTCAATCGGAACAGATTGCAGTACTAAAGAATTTGAATGAATATGGTATATAAATTAAAGAAGTCAAACATGCCCAATATGCACTTTACAAATTACAGCATTCCTAATAAGTAATCTGTGCTCTTGGTACAGCTCTTTAGTAGTTTGGGCTGGATGGATCACTGCTTAGGCTGAACATATCATTTCTTCTAAAGATGATTAAATTCACTGTTAGCTAACACCCTAAAACGAGAGACAATATGTAGTGTCCAACACCCTGTTTTCAATGTGGTGATTTAAAAAGGATTACTGGTCATTTTGAGGATTGCTGGTTTACTACAACAGTTTTCACAAGAAACATAAATCTGAAAATAAAGTAATGCAAAAGCAAGTGATGTAACACCAAGTAACATTTACCTACTTTATACAGCTTGCATTTAGACTGAAAACAAAAAGCTGAAAAAGAAAAAAAAAAAAAAAAAAGGCCTTGCTAGACACGGTAGCATATACCTGTAATCCCAGGACTAGGAACCTGAAGGCAAGAGGACTGCAAGTTTGAGCCCAACTATGGTAACTTAGAAAGATCTTGTCTCAACAAAAAACAAAAACAAACAACAAAAAAAAAACCTCTGGGGCCTAAGAGATGGAAGATGTGACAGGTTCTGGAAGGAAGGAAAGGAAGGAAGGAGGAAAGACAAAAGTGGCTTACATTAAAATTTATATCCCTGAACAGATCAGATGGGGCTAGGACAAAAAGCATACTCAATAATGAAATTTTAATACTTAAAGGAAATAAAAATCATTTTAATTTCATGGACATTTAACTTATATGTACATTTTTCTAGCACCCAACCAACAGTAAAACAGCCTACAAACTGTGTGTAGAAAGGCACTTGATCTACTCAATTTTACAATCCAGTTCATCTTAAAAGTACAAATCAATAAAATAGCATTATTATAAAGTGCTGCTTTGGTAGCAAAGGAAAATCTGTAGGCCCTACTTGTATTAAAGGAGTAATTAACAAGAGTTGTGGCCAGACATGGTGGCGCATGCCTACATTCCCAGCACTCAGGAGGTAAGAGGACTGCTGCAAGTTCCCGGCCAGCCTGGGATACCTAGGGAGGTCAAGGCCAGCCTGGACTACATAGCAAGGACCACCCCCTAAAAGAAAAAGAAAAACAAAAGAGTTGTGGCCTACAAGGAAATATTCTAGTTTGGCTGGCACAGTAGAAAGTACGGAGATTTGTCTTTATGCCCCCCCCCAACCAAGATAGGTATTTCCCAAATTAAATACTAGTTCCTCTTACTGCTTAGATATCATGTAGCCTTTTAGCTTTAAATTAGAAAAGCATAAGTCAGCTTACGGCAAACTTCTCTCAAAGCTGAAGATCTACTGTTTTCTGTAGGGAAGGCATTGATTCTAACTTTAACAAAAAGTGAAACAAAAACAAAAGACAATGACTTTACTAAAGCAAAAAGGAGAATTGCATTGCTTTTCAACATACTATTACAAGTGGCAGAAGAAAAATAAGAAACACTGCTGTAGGACAACATCTCAATCTAGTCCTTCCAAGTGCGTGTGTCTCTTCTGCTTGGGGAGGGGGAGGGGTGTGTGTGTGTGTGTGTGTGTGTGTGTGTGTGTGTGTGTGTGTGATTAACTCACTCTACATCCCCTCTCCTTCAGGACTGCCTGTAAGAACTCAGTAACTCAGGCCCAAACAGAAAGGATTTTATCAGGTTGTGACCTATGACAACATGAATTACAAAAATAGTCACAAAATATGAAAATAAATCAGATAGTGAGCTGCTCAGTGGTTGAGGAATTGCCTTGAACATGTGAGGCCCTGAATTCAAACCACATTAAGAGGAACGCTGGAAGATGGAGAGGAGAGGGGAAGGTAAGGTATCTAAAAATTGTTTGTAAAATACTTAGCACAGTGCCTGGCACATAGTGAGGGCTCAATGCCCAAACAATCAGCTTTAGTGAAAAATCTATACATTCTTTTTGCCTACCTGAATTTTCCTTGCCTCATTTCAGGAGGTCAAACACTTTCTTACATCTTAACTCTTAAGCATTTTATTAATCTTCTAATTATAGAAAGCTAAAATTTTTCTTACACTTCCTATACATCCAGGATATGTATTTCACCATGCATACGCCTAACCCAGGCTAGCAAGTGAGCAGAAGCAGAAACCAGAAGGAACATGCTCTCACACTACTGCAACAGTTGCAGCAAGGTCAAGTCTAGGGCAGAGGTGGCAGGATTTAGAATCATTCAGAGCCAGCAGTGCCACTGGGGCAGGCTGTGGCGTCTGCCTGTCTCTAGATGTACTGGCATCCTCATGGGAATTGTGCAATGTGATTTTGGACACTGTTTCTGGTTGCTTAGTACTCAATCTGAATCTCTTCCCCTTGCAACAATGTGATGAGCTACTGAGCTAGATCCAAAGTGCTTTTAAAATACATGACATATTTGAATAGGTTTTTACTTTAAGAGAATGGCTTAATTCTTTAAAGAAATATACTTAATTAGTTTTTGCTGAGTGACACATCAGGTAGAGGTAACAACCATTCTCACCCATTGCACTCCTGTTCTTTTCCCATAGGAAAGAAAAGACTATTTTCAATCTTCAAAAAAAACCCCAAAACATTACTGCTCAAATTCAACCTTTGGATTTATTCTAGGAATTCTTGGAAACTTTATTGTCTAGGCCACTTTTTACTTATTTTAAAGAATCCTATCAAAGAGAAATGATGACACAGGAAAATAACTATGCAAAAAGTAGTCTTCTTCAAGGAAACAACTTATTCCAACATGCCTTACCTGCCCATGTATTCACAAAAGCTTTCTTTCCCAGCATGAGTTTTTAACCTGAAGTCTGTATCAAGGAGTCACCTCTAAGAGTCAGTAAGGTCAAAATTTTGAAAAATACCCAAAGGCCATAAACAGTCCTCTTTTAACTAATAATCATCAAAACATTTGCATAGCAAAACAATTCACTTTTCTGTTAAAACAGTACAGAGAGTGTCAATGCTTGACTCCTAGAGGCTGGGATACTCTTCTTCCTCTGACACATTTCTCTGCAGGTCTCTTTCACAGTTCAGTAATACTTTCCCCAGTGTCTACAATGTCAAAGCTTAAATCTGTTCATTTTATTACTTGTCAGTACAAATGTGATACAAAATTTGCAAGAAGAGAGAAACGAAATTAAATGTTTTTTTGGAGTCTCAGGAGCAGGTTATCACATAGTATGAGTGTCCAACTTTTTGGCTTGCCTAAGTTGTACTGAGTGAAGAGGAACTGTTTGGGCTACTTATAAAATATGTAATACAGCTAATATTTATAAGTAACAAAATTTATATCTTCATTATAACATTTTTTTTAAAAAGGACAACATACATGCAAAACTGGAGTTAGTTGATCTTGTTTCTATGAAACTAATGCATTGAAGCCTGCCTCCATTGAAGAAGTTGCATTTCTTACCATTCTATTATCTGCAGTCTGTACCTGAGCATCAGGCAATGGAGTCATGAAAAAAATCACATATTAATAAATTTATAATGCTGGGTGTGGTGGTACACGCTTGTAGTCCCAGCACTGTGGAGGTTGAGACATGAGGATCACTATGAGTTCTAGGCCAGCCTTCAGCTACAAAGTGAATTTAAGGCCAGCGTAAACTGCATAGCATAACCCTATCTCGAAAAGAAAAAGAAAAAGAAAAGAGGAAGAAAACGAGCCCACCAACCTTATGGGGCCATGAGGTAGACACATCTGCCATAGTCTAGACTTCAAACTGCAGTAGTCCTCCGTGGGGAACAGTTTCAATTTCCATGCTTTACTTATCTATGGTCAACCATGGTCAGAAAATAAATATTAAATGGAAAATTCTATAAATGATTTTTATTTGTTGTTTTTTGGTCCTGAGGATTAAACCCAGGGTCTTCCACATGCTTAGGATGCACATTGCCACTGAGCTACAGTCCCGGCCCAATGGTGTTTAAGTTATAAATTGTGTTCCAGTCTGACCCGCATAACGAATCTTACACTATCTCACTCTGTCCCAACCAGGATGTGAATCAATCCTTCTGTTGAGCATATCCACTATCTGCTTACCAGTCACCTACTGGCAGTCTCAGTTAACATACGGTATCTCAGTGCTTCTGTTAAACTATTGCTTTACTTAATAAGAGCCCCTAAGTTGGAAAGCAGTAATGATAGTAACTTTATTATAGTATATTGTAATAGTTTTTCATTTTATTGTTAATTCGTTAATTTCCTACTGTGCTTAACTTGTAAATCAAACAAGATACGCGTGTGCAGGAAAAAAAATAGTATATATTGGGCTTAATACAACCAATTATCAGGTATCCTTTAGGAATCTTACAAAATATGCCTTCTGGTTGGGGGGTGGGGGAGACTGTTTTAATGAATACATGAATAAACAAAAAAAGTTTATAGAGTAACATTATTTAAAAAATCACACATCTGGAAATGTGTATGATGTCTAATGCACTGATGTGCACTGAAATGTCTAATGCACTGAAATGTGCACTGATGCCTAATGTCTTTTTAATATACTAAAAAGTCATAGCAAAAACTCTGAATTCTGGCACCAGTTTGGGACTGGGGAAAGTCATAGAATTGCAGGGTTCACAATAATCACATTTTAGGGGCTGGGGATATAGCTCAGTGGCACAGTGCCTGCCTGGCAAATGCAAGGTCCTGAGATCAATTCCTAGTACCCATCAGAAAAAAAAAAAAAAAGAGGGAGAGAAACAATCACATTTTAGAGTTATTAAAAGACTGAATTTGTTAAGGCCTTAGAGTTGAGCAATTTACACAAGGAACCTGTCTTCTGATTCCTGAATGATAATCATTAAAATATCTTATCTCATTCTTTGAGTTAGTCAAAGTGGAGTTGACTAAATACAGACAGTATTATTTCTGGCTTTAAAATAAAAAATAGTATATCCAAGGCAAATTATTGCAAAATCCAACTGTTTATATTCTTTTTAGTATAAAGTTCCGATTTATGGTAATTCATAAAAATCCTGAACTTATTGAAATAAAAAAGGTGAACAAGAAAAGTAAAAAAAAAATTTTTTTACAGTGTCCATAAATTCATCTTGATAAAAAGCCTAGTCTATGTTATATAGTAAGTATCTGCCTATATGTTAAGGGCTCTTTTATTAATCATTGATTATAATATATTGATTGGTATTTACTTCATACCTGAGAAGATAACATAACTAAAATCTTTCTATTTACATTTATGTTAATTAAAAAATAGATATTAAGGAAACCTATTTTCCTTTAAGGAAAAATTCTTTGCATTTGCCTACATTATACTATACTAAACATACAAGGAATAAAAGGAAAAAGTTCACACAAAATCTAATGCTTCTTTAAATAAGACATGTCCAAATCAGCCTTAGAAATTAACTATATTTGTATTTTAACAGAGGCCTAGAAAATGCAGGACTAAAAAGGACCTATAGCTACTTCTAAATTGCTACTCTATCACAAAGAATAATTACACTACAAAGTAACAGGAACAGCCAACACATTAAAAATAAAAAGGAAGCTAACAAACTCTTATTAAAGTGCAAGAACAAAAAGTACAGGAAACCCAAAAGAGAACAGGATGAGTGTATACACAGACAAAAGAAGGTTATAGCAACAGTGGCAAACCTAAGACACGTTTTGCCATTTTGCTTCCTTCAAATTTGACAGGCCTGGGTAACAGGACTTCAGGAAAGGTCTAAGAAACCTCGAGATGGCTATTATAAGCAATGGGAATTGTCAGACAAAACCACACCCTGCTGGGCCAGGGATATAGCTCAGCAGCACAGCACCTCCCTGGCAAGTGTGAGGTTGTGAGTTCAAGTGCCAGTATCACCCCCTGCCAAAAAAAAAAAAAACAAAACAAAACAAAAACCCTGTCATGTCACTCAGCTAGAAAAGGAAATATCAACTACAACTTTTTTGGGGGTGGGGGATGAGTCTCACTACGTAGTTCAAGACCAGCCTAAATAGTATCTTCTCTTGATTCTGGCCGTGAACTTGTGGCAATCCTCCTTCCTCAGCCTCCCAAGTGCTAGGATTATAGGCATGCAGCACCATGCCCAGCATCAACTACATCTTGAGCAACAGACTTTTATCACTCTTAACAATCTCTCTTCAAAATCTGTCACCCCCACCAATGCCAGGTCTTAATGCCATGTAAGTGCTAAGAGTAGAAGCTAATGTGGTTTAGCACCAAGGCAGTGTCATGGTTTATGTCTGTGGCCCCCAGGCCTCATGCATTTGCACTGTACATTTGTGATTGGTTCATTGTCTAGCGCTTGGAGTGGGGGTGTGAGTGCTACACTGGCCTAGGGGTGGAGCCAGGATGTAATGTAATGGCAGGAAGAAGGTATGTCTCACTCTCTTGCAGGTTTCTGCCTTGCTATTTGCAGCAGCCATGAACTGTGGCCTGCCATGCCACCCTGCTTTGGAGCCAACTGTGTATGGACTGAAAGCTCCAAAACTTGTAAGAAATAATCCTTTCCTTTCCCAACTCTGGCGTCAGGTGTTTTGTTTCAGCAACGAGT